TAAGTTGGAATAATATTAGAATAATTTGTTTCAAGCTTCGTATTATTATCATTTCAATTATTATCGGTAATCTGAATAACTTATCAATGAACTGTACATGATATCTATAACAGCTCCAAGGTNAGAGTGTAATATGATTAGAACTCTGCTATACTACGAAAAAATATATAACCATAAGATTAATAGTTTGTCTCCTACTCTTACCCGTAATGAAAAGATTTTCTGTAGGATTATGATTACATCCCCTAATGTAGGACTATACATCTCAAATAGAGGGAAGGGGTGAACATGTGTATAATGCGTGTGCGTATCAGTATGTGTACATGTGTGTGCCAAAAAAGGAAAAGAAAAAAGACATACATACATGCCGCAGGATTTGGTTAATTGATTGATTGACATGTTCATGTACCTATTTGTTCTTGAGGCTATGTGTATATGTGGACTTTATGAGGTAAAATATGAGCTTTGTTAGAATATAACATTATTTGTACCTTTTCTCTGCACTTTTTTACCGCCTTGGCTTTGTCGCTTGCATGCACTGTACGTATATGTCGGGTTCATAAGGATAATGATTATATCATCATTCAACAGCCATGCACAATATGCAAACAATTGCAAGGATCAGCTGCAAAGAACTTTTTAGTGTAGTAATAGATATATATATATATATATATATATATATATATATATATATATATAGAGAGAGAGAGAGAGAGAGAGAGAGAGAGAGAGAGAGAGAGAGAGAGAGAAGAGAGAGAGAGAGAGAGAGAGAAAATAAAAGTCAAAGCAATAAAAGCGAATCGATTATTCAAACCCCCATTACAGCCGATAAGAATATAAATAGATAGACATTGATATAGATATAGAATCAATGAGCATTCATTCTAAATTTTGTCCCTTCCATAAAAGAAAATATATTTAAAGATATGAAAGCAGTGGAAAATATAAAGGAAGGAAGGAACACGATGAGAGACAAAAAAAAGAAAAAGTGAAGAGCGGAAATAAAACAAAAGACTGATTATCGACTACCAATTATCATTACTTTAATCTATAATCCTATATGGTGTTCATACTTGCAGATATGTCTAATTAAGGGCCTAGCTAAAATTGGCACACATTAGGACGTATTTCCATCTAACTGGAATTTGACATAATCTTGCCATAAAGTGCCATGGGTTAGTTCAGTCTTGTGATATTTCCAGCTGCTGTATAATCTATCTGTATATCTATGCTTATATATATATATATATATATATATATATATATATATATATATATATATATATATATATTGTTAAGCCCGAATGACCACAGGATAGCACGCTAACCTCAGCAGCCGTTAAAGGTCCGATGAGCACGTGGAGGCGAGCACTCCAAGTCCTCTTGTCTAAGGTACTGTCAGGTCGAAACAAACGCTGGTCACTTCACCAAGGTTTCATTTATCCACTGGAAATTGGCACGTCAAATACAGGGCGAAAATCACAGTCTTAGGCGGGGAAACGAGAGAGGGGTCGCGAGCACGTCTTCCTCAGGCGAGAGTCCCGGGCGATCTCACTCTGCGGGACGAGACGCCACCCTCCACGCCAAAACACCCGCGAAATTCAAAATCATTAACAGAGGGTGGTGGTGTAACATATATATATATATATATAATATATATATATATATTAGAGAGAGAGAGAGAGAGAAGAGAGAGAGAGATGTGTGTGTGTGTGTGCGTGCGTTGCGTGTGTGTGTGTGTGTGTGTATGTGTGTATGTATAAGGAAGGAAAATCCATGTCACACTACTTTGAGTAATATAGTTGATTCCCTTAAATCATAAATTTTTATCATAACTTTTCGAGAAAGTTGCTCTAATTTGAGCAACTACGATTAAAAAACATACAAAAAACAAGGAAAATGGTTTACAAGTCTTAGAAAGCAAAATGAAGAAGAAAGAAAGATGAAAGAAGAAGAGGAAAGAAGATAAAAAAAGGAAAAGAAAAAAAAGAAAAGAAGAATAAAAAATTGGAGCGATTAATTAATGCTAAAAATAAATAAAAGTAAGAGCGTTTTGTGAAAAGGAAGAGTATAATATCAGGTTAACAGAAGGAAAAGTGGTGATTACAAAAAAGAAACAATAGATAAAGGACAGAGAAGGAAAGTAACAAAGAAACTAATATAATAAAAGTAGCCTCTACTTTTGGAATAGTCTGCCCGAACAGATTAAGATGATGGAAGCGGACCGGGTATCTTTTTCGGTGGCGCACAAGAATTGGACGCTATGGGTTCCTCTGGTATGGGAAATTCTCGCCGACCTAGCGAAAGGTAGGCCGTGGCAGGTGGGGCGGGGGGGGACAGATAGTCGCCCAAGAGGGGATTTGTTGGTGTGTCTAGGGGAGGGGGATATGAGGGTGGATTAGGTCCAGTCTCCATGCCCTGCCAATAAGTGTTCATGGTAGCCGCTTGTTTGCCATTATTGCTGTTGATTCCTTTTTTCTAATATTTATCCTAGTTACTAAATCTTCACTAAGCGTATTTACGTACACATTACCGGCTGTGGCTATGTCATCAGAGTAGATAGAGATGATAGTAGATCATAGAGTNAGCATGAATGTTTGGAGTAAATGGTCAGCTAGTAAGCGAGAATGGGAAAGCGCGTGAGATGAAGGAAGAAAAAATGGGATAAAAAAAACCCAAATTTAGAAAACAAAAAGGAAAAACTTTTGGAAGGGGAAAAAAAAATGGGGGAAAAAAAAAAAAAGAAAAAAATTGGGGGGGGGGGGAAAAAAAAATACCCAAACAGAAAAAAAGGAAAAAGGAAAACCAAAAAAATTTCAAAGCCATAATGGGAATAAACACAAGTTAAAACCGAAAAAAAAGGAAAAAAAATAAGCCAAAAGGTAAATAAATTGGAAAAAACAAGTTTTTCCCCTTTTTATAAATCCGCCAAAGGTCCCCCCATCCTGCCGCATTTTAGGGTATTTAATCCCCTCGGAAGGGCCCCTGGAAGCCTGACCTAAAGCCCCCCAAAATAAAAAAATTCCCTTTTTTTGGGGAAATATATATGTCCAACTTTTGTAAGAGAGAGAAAAAAAGAGTTATTTGACCGAGAATGGCAAATGTTTCCAGATTTTTTTCTCTCTTTCTCTCTCTCTCTCTCTCTCTCTCTCTCTCTCTCTCTCTCTCTCTCTCTCTCTTTTTTTAGTTCCAAATGTCTTATTTTCCAAATTCTCTATACCATTTACTACATGTAATATCTACATATGGCATGGCAGCGTTAGATACACATGCACGCACAGACACAAACGTGAATACAAAAATAAATTTAACATTGCATTCACAACACACGTACAGAAAATACACGCATGCACACATAAATACACAAACACATTCAAGACATTAATAAGCAGAAAGTAATCTAATTTCTTCACGAGTCTGATAATAATTAAAGAAGTATAATTTTTACTGTGTCTCCCTAAGGACATCTAACGTATTTTCCACTGAATTTATGACTCATAACACAAGAATTACACTTAACAGTAAGAACGACTAAAAGTTCGTTACAATTTATTATTGTTATTATCGATATTAGTATCATCATTATTATAAACATTATTATCATTATTGTTATTATTATCATTAATATTATTGTTGTCATAATCATTATTATTATTGTTATTATTAAATTGTCATAATTAATATCATCATTATTTTCAATATTACTATCGTTATTATTATTAAAAATCTCCATACCTGCTTATTTGCTTCAGTTACCCGTCGGGAAACCCCAGTCGCCTTAGTGAAAGAAGAGGTTTCAGTGGTCTTCCAGTGTTCCTAGAGCTATATCCTGGTCATTATTATCATTATTATTATTGGTATTATAATAATAATAAGAAAATATTATTATCATTATTATTACTATTATTGCTATTATTGTTGCTATTATTATCATTTCTATTATTGGTATTATTATCCTTTTTATTTTTTTTATTATTATTACTATTATTGTTGCTATTAATATCATTATTATCATTGGCATTATTATCATCATTATTATCATTATTACTATTATATTAGTATTACCATTATCATCATTACCATCATTATCATCATTGTTAATATGATTACTATTAGCATTGTTGTCATTATTGTTATTACACTGATTTGATATTTTTTTTGTTGAGAATGAGTTACAAAATTAATGATAAAATGATATCTCTCTCTCTCTCACACACACACACACACACACACACACACACACACACACACACACACACACACACACACACACACACACACACGGGTTTTGAAATACTTCTACATATACACATTAATCTTAAACCCATGTACTATAAAATTCAATGCATATATATATATATATATATATATATATATATATATATATATATATATATATATATATATATATATATATATATATATATATATTATATAGACAATGCAATTGTTCGCATACGTAGCCAATATTCTTGCAACGCTATTGTATAATAGAAATTACATCATCAGTATATTTGAACTCTCCTCTTGACTAAGTATCAATTATAATCTTGTGATCATTATCTTTACTGATGTCATTCTTTCACCATTATGTCATGCAACATGCTCGTTTTATTTACATGGAATATAAATACCTTATAAAATCGTTATTGTTCTCTCAGAGTTATTAGCATTATAATGAACATTAATGTTTTCATAATCAGCACTATAGCAAATATCATTATTGTAACACGATTCTTGAATCGTATTGAGTAAATTAGTTTCCCCTTATGTTTAATTACATTTTCTGTTTTATGTGAAGTTCCAACATTATCTTCTGGAATATTCGTTTTATATGTTTATAAACCATTATAAACAATCTTCGACTTTTGCTATGCACATTGAGGAATACTGTAATTTCTAATGATTTATTACTTAAGAGAGAGGAACCATGTACTGTTAAAATAAATTACAAGATCATGTACATTTAAGTATATTTTTATAAGAGCTTGTTGGTGAGAGAGAAGAGAGGAATCAACAATCAAATGAACATGGAAAGCGGCCGCTGTCAAAGATTTTGATATTTTAGAGTAGAATCATTATTACAAACATAAGCATCATGGAATTGTGCAGTCAAGTGAGAGTGAATACAAAGGGACAGTAAATGTGCCCTTCTGAGACATGACAGTGCCGCATTGAAGTTCTGGACTTTGTCTTGGTGCAGTTGGTGGTGTCGACAATGTTGTAAGTATATAATTTTGTAATTCTTAAAAATATTCTAGGTTTTGAGTTTGATGATGAGACTTCAGGAATTAGTTTAACATGTTCTATGGCTGTGAAATGATATTAACATAAGTGTTGTGAGATGCTACCTTCAAAGGGAAATTATTAATATTGATTTAATGTTGAGATTGGAAATTCCATATATGTTATTGTTCAGGATTGCTATAAAAGCATTTAGGTTTATTTTGAATTATATTGTATTATCTTTGTATAGGATATTATGTAATTATTTTGGGTGATCATTGCTAACCTATCTTTTTTGTATTTCAACTGTTACATTCATGTGCCTCACTGTGATTTATGAATAGTTAACCAATACTTTTTATTTCAACAATTACATTTATGTACTTTCTGTGAACTATATTATGGAAACTTTTGCAGGTTGGAACAAATAGAATAAAGAGTTGCAGCACGTTGTGTTTTACCCTGCCTGACGAGTCTGGAGCTAACATTCCAACAACAGTTGGCCAAGATGTCGAAACCTACAGAACTGGAATCTCTACGCCGTCTGAGAGGAACAGCGAAAGGGAAGTTAAGTAGGAAATGCAAATTATTACGAGAACAAGTAAGTGAAAATTCATCATGGGACCAAATTGAGTCGTACTATATGGAGGTTCAGAAAGCTTTCAGTGAGTTAGAAATATTACATGGAAAAGTAACTGAAAATATGTGCCAAAGTGTAGAAGAAAATTTTGATAAGAAGCTAGAGGAAGAGGAACTCTATATAGAACAGGCTGAAATAATAAAAAATGAAGCATATGCTCAGCTAATGGCTAGCCGAAAGAAAGTGAAGAGGAATGTGCAACTGAGAAGTTAAAGATTAAAGTAAAGCCATTGGATCCTCCAAAATTTGATGGAGATATCCGACAATATCAAACTTTTCGTAGCAACTATAGAAAGATTATGACGGAAACTTATGGGAAGAATGCCTATGCATTATTTCAGTGTTTGTCAGGAGAAGCATTAAGTGTTGTTCATGGGGTGGAGGATGATTTTGATAAAATGTTTTATCGTCTTGATCAGAGATATGCTGATCCGATTAGACTAACGGATTGCATAATTGAACAGCTAAGAAACTAAAACCAATCCCTGAAGGTGACACTATTAAATTTATTGATGCAGTAAATGTGATTGAAAATTGTTGGACAGACATGCAGAGAAATCAATTAAAGGAACAAATGTCTACTGTGATTGTAATAAGTTTGATTGAGAAAATATTGCCTTCACAACAAAGGCGGGATTGGACAAGAATTTATCAAGACTTGACGGACAAATCAAGTGCCTTCCCAAACCTTATGGAATTCTTGTTGAAAGAAAGACAAATACTGGATTATATGGACAAAGATGTACGCAAATTTAGTCAACCAAATAAAGCAAGTGTACATAATGTAGAAGTAAGTGAGAGGGATGACCCTTTTATTAGTGCCTTACAAAAATTGCAAATTCAACAAACCGAACACCAGGCAAATATAGAAAATATTTTGCAAAGGATGACTCAGTTTATAACAGGGAATCCCAAAGTAACACAATCTAGATTTCCTTTGGGTAATAGTATTTATTGTTGGTACCATAATTCAGATAATCATTCGATCCATAAATGTTCCGTATTCCATAACTTGGAACCTACAGTTAAGATGGATGTGTTGAAGAAAAACTTTATATGCTTTCATTGTTTGGGTAAAGGGCACAGTCAGAAAAATTGCCATGAAAGGAGAACATGTTTTATCAAAATGAAACATGGTAATGTTTGCGGTAAACCACATCATCCTAAATTACACTACCTGTTTTCACAAATCAATCCAAATGAAGTGAATATCAATATCAACAAATCAGAGAATTCTATTTTATTAATGATTGGACAAGTTCACTGCAAAGACAGGGAAATTGTTACTCTGTTTGACCCTGGAAGCACTAATAGTTTGATTACACACAGTAAAGCTCGAGAACTTGGTTTGTGTGGGATTCCTTATAACATTACCATGGTGACAGTAGGAAATGTTTGTGATACTGTTTCTACCAAACTTTATGAAGTCCCTCTCATAGATGTCACAGGGAAGATAAGGTCAGTACATTGTGTAGGGATTGACGATATTACTTCTGAAGTGAAACCAGTAGACATAAGTGAAATACACTATATATTCGATGTCTCCACAAATACTGACATATTAAGACCTCAAGGGAAAGTAGACTTATTAATAGGTGCGGATAATTGTGACATGATCCCAAGTGTTGTGAAAACGGTAGGGAAATTACAACTTATGAAAGGACCTTTTGGTTACTGCATCAGAGGTTCACATCAGAACTTCAAGGATAATAATACTAGATATTATAGTGCAAAGATAAATCATATACAGATTAACCGAGAATTAGATGCACTACATGGAGAACCTTGGAAAACTTTAAAGGAAGATTTGGATAATTTTTTCACAGTGGATCATTTAGGGACTAATTGTAAACTTCAGTGTGATAACTGTAGTAATTGTAACAAATGTAGTAGAGAATTGGACATTACTATAAAGGAGGAAGAAGAAATGAAATTAATACTCAAGGGTCTTAATCATCAAGAAAGGGAGAAGGTTTGGGTAGCACACTATCCTTGGATAAAGGATCCATATCTTCTCCCTAATAACTTTGCAGCTACAATAATGAGATTAAAGGGAACTGAAAGACGATTAAGAAAATTAGGTGAAATGTCTTCAAAAGCATATAAAGAACAAATTGATGATATGCTGAAAAGAGGAGTTGCAAAGAAATTAACGAAAGATGAAATTAGGCATTATTCGGGCCCAGTACATTATGTTTCGCATCACGAAATCTTGAAACCTGATTCCATTTCAACACCAACACGTATTGTGTTCAATTCTTCTGCTTCTTACAATGGACATATTTTGAATCACTACTGGGCTAAGGGCCCTAATGTATTAAACAACCTCTTTGGTTTATTACTTAGATTTAGAGAGAATCCTATTGCATTTATCGGAGATATTTCAAAGATGTTTAATAGTATAAGACTTTCAGAATTTGACTGTCATGTTCACAGATTTTTATGGAGAGGTTTAGAAGATCGTCCTCCTGATCATTATGCTTTGACAGCAGTTCCATTTGGAGACATTTGTAGTCCTGCTATTGCAGTATTGGCCATGAGACAAACAGCATATAAATATAAAGAAAGATTTCCTGAGGCTGCGAATGTTATTATAGGTGACAGTTACATGGATGACATAATTCATAGTGCAGACAACATTGATGATGCTATTGAATGCATGAATGATATTGAATATATTTTAAAACAAGGTAGTTTCCATATTAAGAAATGGGTAATGAATGGGAATCCACATACTGAGAATGACATTAATCTTTTGAATACTGAAGGAGAAAAGGTACTCGGCATAATGTGGAATCCTGAAAGAGATGAAATGTGGTTTAAAACAAATTTGAGATTCATGCCGAAGAGGGAATCCAAGATTTCTTGTGTAACGGTTAGATTAGAGACTCTTGATAAGGAATTCCCTGAGATATTAACTAAAAGACAAGTTCTCAGCCAGATAGCTACCATTTTTGATCCCATGGGATATGCTGCCCCTATCATATTATGTGGAAAATTATTAATGAGAGAGGTTATTGTATACTTGGATGAGATGGGAAAGAAACTTGACTGGGATGATCCATTGCCTAGAAATCTCAGGGAAAAATGGTATATATTCTTTAAGAGTATATTCCAATTGGAAAACTTATGCATACCAAGATGCATTAGAAATACCTCTCTTATTGAACCTAGTTTAATAATATTTTCTGATGCTAGTACCCAAGCCTATTCTGCATGTGCCTATGCTCGTTGGCAAGTTGATAGAGGAAATTATGAATCTAGACTACTTGCATCAAAGAGTAGACTCGCTCCTGTAAAGCAGCAAACTATACCTAAACTTGAACTTTCTAGTGCTGTTCTGGGTGTCCGTCTCCGTAACGCAATTATTAAGGAGAGCAGCATCCAGTATCATAAAGTGTATCATCTTACAGATTCTGAAATTATACTTGCTCAAATTATGAAGCCTAACATTTCTGTTGGTACATACGTTGCTAATAGGATATCAGAAATTAAAGAAACCACCAGTAATGAAGAATGGCATTGGATCCCTACAGACAGTAATGTAGCTGATTTATTGACTCGACCTGATCCTACCATTGACATTAGCTCTGAATCGAAATGGCAGAAAGGGCCACCTTTTTTAAAGTTGCCTTATTCACAGTGGCCTGTTAAATCTATACCACTAAAATCAGAAGAGACCGTCATTAGTAATACTATTGAGATTAATAGTTTAGACACAGAGACAACTTTATTTGATATTGAAGGTTTTCAGTCCTATCGGAAACTCATTTATGTTACTGCCAGAATAATTAATGCCTTTCGCCAGTGCTCTTTCAAAGCTATAAAGGACCTGCCAACTATAGAGGAATTAAATGCTGCAGAGACAATTTGGATTAAACGTATACAAGCCCCTTTATTATTGAACTGGAAAAGGAGATTTAAGCGTTTAGGTCCATTTATGAAGAATGATACATTATATGTAGGTGCTAGAATTGCAATATGGATGAAAAACAACTATAATAATGAATCATTTATATTGTTGCCTACAAAACATAAATTTACTGAGTTATGTATTAAAGAATTTCATGATAGGGATCATGCCGGAATAGAGACTACCCTGTGCAAACTGCAAAATAAATTTTGGATACCCCA